GATAGACCAAAAACATTTTAAGCACATACGCCGCGTGTGCGACCAAACATCCGAACCCGCCACTCCTAAACGTGAGTTCAGATTCACCATTGTATCACTACTGTGCATTACTGTGTCATTTCAAGACTAGCAATCTAGTTTCGATTAATCGAATCAAACTTTCATTGTGCGTGAATCTAATTATGGGATATTCCAACACAACGTTGTGCGTCCGCGTCATCACGTGAAATCATGAACATCTCAAAACTGAACTCACGTTATGAGAATCGAACCTAACAGCAGAGATACTGTCAGTATCATGCTGAACATGTTTACCTCAGCTTTATCTACTCCTCCACGAATGTTCGTCAGGATCTCTATAGCTACGATAGCCCTCATCTCGCTTGCTGAAGGCATCGTGGTCGGCCGTTCAACTGGTGATGAGAAGCCACTTTTCGGTAGCATCGACAACCTAGAGATAACACCGGAGCTCATCAACCTACTGAAGGAGCTGGAGGCCGAGTTCATCAAGCAAGATGAGGAGCGTATTGCCTCATACCCTGAAGGTCCTCAGCTAGCAGCAGTTTCGGCTGATGGTAGCTTCTCATATCCGCCGGGTTGTACACCGGATGAGCGCCCGGAAAGCAGGTACTACTGCTTCCACGGCAAACGCAATACAACTGGTGGAGTGAAGCAAGTGACAGCCATTGTTGATCTCTTCGATATCAATGACCCACAGGACAATGTCGTTATTGGTCTCACAGCCGAGTTCGCGGACAAGACTGCGAAGAGGCTGGACACCCACGCCGGCGGTGAGGCAGAGGTGGTAGCTTTTGGTAACAAAAAAAGACTTGGCGCGGCCCTATCCTTGGAGACTTATGATGTGGAATCCCCCAAACCTGGACTACTCGGTCGCGTGCAGAAGAACATAGTCGCTAATCCTCACTTCAAAATCTATGTTTTCAGCTACCTAGCTTTGGACATTGAGCATGTTCCCAGTGATACTAGCTATATGTACGCTACAAATGCTGGGAATATGGGCTTCAACGTGACAACATCGATCACCAAGAAGGTTACACTTGGTACTGTTGGTGCTTCCCTCTCTTTGACCTTGGATACTCTTAAGGCCAATGACAGCGTATGGGACCTTAAGGGTACAGCAAAAGCCTCCGCCACTAATGCATTGATCAAGTTACACTTACCGGTGACCTTCCTCAGAGAGAGAATCATCCTGCCACAGTGAACTCCCCTCAGCTTCTTTTAGAGGGGTTTTGTGGATGATTCGTCTTGGTCCGCCATAGGTGCTTGAGATTCCATATTCAGCACATTCTGGGCGAGCAGACTTTCCTTGGTGCGTTGTCTCAATATCCGGACACTCAACCACTCAAAACTTGTTATTTCTATGTTATGATTTTTCAGTCTTCGAGTCACCATGAGTCTCTTCACCACCTCAAAATTATTTCGAGACACGGCGTATTACTTTCTTATGTCATGGAATCGCTCCAAATGGAGGTTGATCACCAAGGCTTATGCTACGAGCCGGGAGTTGCTCGCAGCTATATTGTTGACTCGTTGAATCAAAAACCTCGAACATCTTGACCCTGGAGCTGTTAGACTACCAATCAAGCGACCCTGTTGCGTTTCGCTCAGTAAGGATACCTGATGGCATACTGGGGAGGCTTGATGGCATATTGACTGAGGGAGCGCGGATTACTGAGATGAGCATATGGGCTGTGGGCTGCACAGCCTGTGGGTCCGACATTGATGGTGAGACAACCATGTCATTTATTTGAATAGTGAATATACCGTCACCTGACTCTCTAGACAAGGGTCCATCGAGCCAGCTATTCAATATTTCCCTCGGCATCGTTTGCTCTCGTCATCATCTATGATCAGTGTCTCAGTTAAATTGACCTCTAGAATGACCCAGATGAAGCTCTCATCTGTGCCTGCGGCGACTGGTTAATCTGGTGGAATATTCTCAGTGACTGTTGGTTCGAGTACGCTTAGAGGAGCATCATTGGGTCGTACTGATTCAGAATTGTCCATACTATCCGATTATCTAAAGGTTCCGGTGGATTTGTCGCCTTTATCTCTGCCTTCGGATTTGGAACTTGTTCATACTATGAACTTCATAGCATGGACCAAAATGTTGACTTGATTACTAAAAATACTCATCGGTGTACTCTAGATCAGCTTCGACGAGTACGAGGAGAACCAAGCAGAGTGGTCGCCGAGAGCAAGCAGGGCGGGCCTCCTCAGAAGGCTGAGAAGCGATAAAATATCCGTGCCAAATCTTCGATTGGTCTTTTGGGTGGAGTTTCCGGAGGCCTTAACCATAAAAGTCCAGTAGCTCTATTGCTCGACGAGCTCACTGACTTAGAGGAGTTTGGTTGTGCATCTGATATTGCTATGTTTTTTACTTTAAAGCTAGCTTTGATGCGGATTTGAACTCTCATCGTAGTCGAAAGCTTACGCGGGAATGTGGGGTTCAAAATATTGTCAAGGAACAGTGGGCTAGAAAGCTGGAAATTCCATTCGGCATGAGTGAGATTCTCTCTCTTATGAGCTGGGTTCCGCTCGTATGGAAAACCATCTTCCGACTTCGTTGGTATTGCCCGATAGAGTTGGTCGAACTAGAGGTATTTCCGTGAGTGACGCAGAAATGGTCTCTAAACTGTATGCTAGCATGCCTGAGAAAATTACAGACGGGTTGGATGGTTTAGGATCATCAGCGATGATCAGCTTTCCTGCTATCAGTGTGGAGCTGAGAAGATGGGCTCGCAAGAACGAAAAGGTGCCAGCTACTTCGAAGACTACTCGTAGTGCTATGTTTCAAGTCTCTGTTGCCAACCCCGATGAGAAGAAGGAGGTTCCTCCTACTAAGGCTTATATGGCTATGGTAGTATGAATGAAGGTGCATGTTGAAGATGTGGACAGCGTCACGCTGTCAGGGCTTTGAATGCAGTAATGAACTTTCAAACCCCAAGAGCGATGTCAACGATATGGTGGATTTGATCAATCTATGGATACGTGCTCGCTGCTCAGAGTTTAGTATACGGTAGATGTAAGTAGTCTGGTCATTATTCCTCAGTCGGTCACCGAACATGAACACAGAAGTTAACAACGTCCCTTAGAACACGTTCTCCCATAGTCAGGGCCCGGACGAGAAGATCCAAGGGCTTTAACATTAAGTCATAGACCTCGGTGCATTCTTCATCGAGGATAGCAGAGAGGAACGGAACGAAGGTATGCCTGTAGCTTTTTTTGACGGAGTCGTACCTGCAATGTATCGTACACGTGCGACGTCCCTTTTGCCGAAAATTCTCTTCGGACCTAATGTGTGCTAAGCAGTGTAGCTTATAATCACTCACCAAATGCGACTCGTGCCAACCCAGGCGATCTTTAATCCATCTCGTAAAACTTTCTGTTGAACATCCATGTATGATGGGAAACCATCATGCATCGATTGGATGAACCAAAGAAGGGATGATAAAATGCCTACAACAAATGTCATTCTAGAAATGAACAGCTCATGCTGAGTACAACGTGCTACGCGGAGTCAGTTCTCCACTTACTTGCACCACCAAATACAACTGCCCAGTGTTTATCACCCCAGAATCCATCATGATAGATGAATTCAGTTGGAAGTTCCCAACCCTCACGGATGCACTTCATCATATCATCGGTCAGACGGCAGCCCGCAAACGCAGCTTCGAGCTCGTAATAATTATTTATATGTTGCACAGGACTTTCCTTTCGAGTAGGTGCTGTCACAGCACGCCTGTGTCGAGTAGGCGCTGTATCTGTGCACAATTAAAAGCCGTTTGCTCTGGCTGCATATCCAGAAACCGAAGGGATATGTGTCAGTCTAACCTGTTGTTTTTTTATCCTCCCGACATAGTTTGGGAAGTAGATCTCCAAGTTCACGAGAATCTGCGAGGCACTCAGGCGGGAGGCCGTAACGGTTTAACCCTTCCTTCCCGCATAACAAAGTCGATGATATGATGAGGATGACGCTGTCGTATGCGCACTGGTGCCTCACCATGATGTTCCCCTGAAGGGGTGACGACTGAATAATCACACTGAGCGATAAAACTACCGAGATTACCATGCTTCTCGACAGTGACGAGGTCTCCAATCTTCGACACCTTGTACTTTCGCGGACAATCGTCATGTGCACAGCATTTATAATAAGCGACCCCTCTGGAATCGTTTTTGTCTTCGTTTATATAAAGGTCATCAAGTTGTAACCTCATCATCGCATCGTCATAGACACTCATCCCAGGGCGTGGTTGGAATCTGTCGAATGAGCGTATTTTGGTCCAATCGAGTGGCGCGGCCATGTCTTCACAAACAAATTCACCTAACCATGCAATTGTTACGAGCGAAAGTATGGTTCGTTTCACTGATAACGATAGTCGATATTGCAAAGATGATTCGAGTTTGCGAAGTCAATGAAGCGAGCGGAGCTATATGTACTGCAATTCGAGTCAAATGCGTGCGTCCGTGCAAGTTCTCTTCAACGGCGTAGAGTTTGAACACGGCAAGAGAACCAATCGAGGGCTGCATGAACGAGTGAACATACAGGAAGATCGAAAACTCATACGGACCGTATGATACGGTGCATCCCCGACGATATATGCATGAGCATCTTTTGCATGGAAATACCGAGGCTCGGTGACCGAGCCTGGGATCCGCACTGGCGACCCAGACTTGGTTACAGAGCCGAGCTTCTCGCCGCGAGCACGAAAGATAGTCTGAATATCAAGTTTTAGAGGGTGCTCGTTGACCACGTGACGT